TCTTAGTCTTTTTTTAAACGAAGAAAGGCAAAATGTAGTTGACAAGGCACTAAATAAAGCACTTTGTGTATCAAAAGAACACGATACTCCAATTGAGAGAAGAATAAGATTGAGAAAGAAGATGGTTGGAGAATTGGTATGTGCTACTAAACTCACAAAAGAAGAAGAAAATAAAAGAAATATGTATGAATGTATTGATCGTCTAAATGTTGAACTTCAAGCATGATCAAAACCATTAAAAAATACTTTAGATATGTTTGAATGTGTCCAAGCTAAAGTTTTAGTTTCTGAACATAATAATGAAGAAGACTTGACGTTATCTATTAAAAAAATAACTTAATTTTATGATGAAATATCCCTCGATGAACTAATTTTGGAAATTCCACGACTCAAGCGACATCTTAAAGCAGCAGGAATTAATTTGGAAGTAGTTAAAAATTGGACAGCTTTAGATATTTTGACTTTCATCACAGAATGGGACTTCACAGAAACGCTTCCAATGCTTTCTCTTACCTTAAGATTATTCTTAACTATTTGCGTGTCCGTTGCATCATGGGAAAGGAGCTTTTCAAAATTAAAACTGATAAAAAATTATTTACGATCAACTATGGGCCAATCAAGACTTTCTGATCTTGCAATATTATATATAGAGAATGAGTTTGTCAAAAGCATTGACTTTGATAACGTAATTGATAAATTTGCAAGTTTAAAAGTAAGAAAAGGAACATTTTAAAGGTTAAGTGTTATGAAAATTTAGGATAATAATTATATAATGATTAAAAAATTTAGTTTAGTGTTTGAAAAATTTAGTTTAGTGATAAAAACATTCAGTTTAGTGATTAAAAAATTAATTTAGTGATTAAAAAATTTAGTTTAATGATTGAAAAATTTAGTTTTGTGATTAAAAATTAGTGTATTGATTGCATAGTGAATAAAAACTATACAAAGTTCAAACTTTTGTGCATATTATTTAAAAAAATATATTTAGTTCATATAAATAGTAAATAATTAAGTATATTAATATGTTGTTATACATAAACGCATCAGTGGCATTAACAAAGGGTAAGTGAACGTTTAACTTATTTTTCACAGATAAGAAGTTAAAAAATCAGTAGGTTTGCTATTTTATTATTATACTTTACTATCAAATCAAATCCAGGTACTACTGTTTTTTTAAGCATATACAAGAATAAAGCTGATTTTAGACGATTTTAGATGATAATAATTTATTATCGTCTAAAGCAGAGATAATAATTATTTGGCAACAATTTATTTTCAAATAATTATTTTCTCTGTTATAGACGAGAATTATTCATAGAGAGTTATAGACACTAAATTATTATTGTCGAAAACAAGGTTTAAAATTACATGTGTCAACGTTTCTAAATACTGCTAATAATAATTTCTTATATAAAAATAATTACATATAATATATGGGTGACACCCTATTTGCCGCCCTGGGTGACACCATAACTAGGAACGCCACTGAGTGAACACTGTGTTTACAAGGTGAACGGACGCACTTTTTTTTTGCTGTAAAGGTTTATTAAAACTTTCTGAAAATGTCTAAAAATTTAAATGTGACACAAATTAAAGAACTTCTTGAAGTGCATGAGAAAACGATTATTAAACTTTTCAGTGAAAAAATTGAAAGACTAGAAAACAAACTATGCGTAGTGCAAGAAGACAATTAAAAATTAAAAATCGAAGTCACTGAATTGAAGAAATCCGTTGAGTTTATAAGTGATAGTTGATGAAAACATCCTTATAGAATAAGCCGTATGAATAGTAGTAGAATACTAAGAAGATTAATAGAATAAGAATTAAAGAATAATAAAATAATAAAAATAATAAAAGAAAAAAAACAATAAAAGAAGTAAAATACTAGAAATAGAATATTAAGATAGTATGAAAACATCCTTATAGAATTAGCTGAAATTAAAAAAGCAGAAAGTTTATGTCGCCAAGAAAATGGTAGTAAACAAAAAATTAGAAAACGATGATTATATAAAAGATAAACTAGCCGAACTCGAAGATCGGAGTAGTGCATCTATAATTATACAATCTAAAAGAGGCAAAAGAATTAAGATCTAAGGATGAGTTTGCTAAAGTTGTGTACAACAAACTATGTTCACGTGATTTTTAAATTTATATACATGCTGTTTTGAGCTGATAATACTAAAATGGATTCAAATAATCATGATTTTAAAAGTTGAACTTTTTTCAAACTAATAATTACAACTTCAATGAAAGCACTGATCCAGATTTAAATTATTTTAACGAAATTAACACACCTGAATTTGAATGCACTTATTTATACCCAAATGAAATCAAAACTTTTTTTAAATTTGATGAGAGTGATAATGATTATTTGAATGTAATCCATATAAACATTAGAAGCTTAAAAAGAAATTATGAAAACTTCTTAAATATTATTTGTGAAACTGATATAGCTTTTAACTTAATTTACGTAACTGAAACGTGGTGCTCACTTTCCGATTTTGAAAATGATTCAAACCTCCAACTACCTGGTTTAAATCCGATTATTTTAGAGCGAAACAATAATAGGGAGGAGTTCTTTTTTTTGTAAAAAATAATCTACTGTATAAACTTCGACGCGATATGAGTGTTTCTGATGTAAATAATGAGATTTTAACAATCGAACTGATAAATATAAAATCAAAAAACCTGTTAATAAGCTGTCGCTACAGGCCACCAACAGGTAAAACTGAAAACTTTTGCAATTTTTTACAAAAAGATATTTTAGAAAAAACTAACCGAGAAAAGAAAAGAAAATAATTGGAGATTTTAACCTAAACTGCTTTGATTATTACGAAAATGAAAAATTTAAACTTTCTATAATAACTTGTTCGAAATGGGGGCAATACCGATAATCAACCGACCGACTAGAATTACAAACTCCTCATCGTCAATTATGATGTCATCGTCAATTCAAACTCCTTATCGTCAAAAATCAAAAAAATAATCATTGACAATATCTTAACTTCTGATTTTTTCAACAAATCACTAAAAAAGGGAATAATTAAAACCGACGTCTCCGACCATTTTCCTGTATTTTCTTCTATAAGCATAGATTCTAAACGATTAAACAATGAAAAAATAAAAAAGCGAATATACAGCAATAAAAATTTAATCTCCTTTAAAGAACAACTTTCATTAATAGACTGGATATCAATTTTGAACCATATCAATTTTGATTCAGATATAAACATTATATACAGTACCTTTTTGAAAACATTCTATGAAGTCTATGATGTAAATTTTCCCTTTTGTGAAATAATTCTAAAAACAAAAGACATTATCTCCTTGGATTTCTAAAGGTCTTCAAAAATCTTCAAAAATCAAGCAAAAACTATGCGTTAAGTAGGGGAAAGCGGGGCAACATGGCGAACGTTTTGAAAGCTCTTAGTTATTGCAAAACTATCACCCGTGAAGCAATAATACTTTCTCAGTATGTTTATGTTATCAAAATCCTTCATTGTCTGCATAAATTTTCAGTTTGTAAATATAACAATTTGAAATAAATATTAAAATAAAAAGTTTATAAATTTGTTATCTGATCACGTGACCGGGGCAAGATGACTTATTATGCAATTTTTACCTCCAATTTTATAAAATTTTAAAAACTAAAAATAAATACAAATCGCAAAAAACTACTTCTAAAGAAGTTAAATTTGAAGGATACCATTCATTATGAGAAACCAAAAGTGAGGAATTTTTTTTTTAAGCGCAAAAAGTAAACTTATGCGTATAAAATTGCGTTGATAATATTTCAAAAACCAGTTGGTGTTTTAAAATACAAGATGCAAATACAGTTTCTTTTTCAACCAATTTTAATACTTTTTGTTGAGTTGTTGTATGAAAACCCATCTTGCCCCATTCGCCATTTTGCCCCGCTTTTCCCTACTTAAAATCTAAATCCGAAAAACACAAAATAAATTACCAAACCTACAAAAACTTATTCAAAAAACTGCAAAAACGCCAAAAAAATACTATTCTGACTTGTTTAACAAATACAAACATGATTCAAAACGCGTATAATAATAAAAGAAATCACAGGTAAAATAAAAAATAATGCTACTTCGCTACCACATACATTAAAAATTGGAAAAACTATAATAACTGAATAAAATAATATTGCAATCGAATTGAATAAATATTTTAAAACTATAGAAACAAAATTATCTAACAATATTCCAAATATAAACGATAAACACGTCAATGATGCACAATATCTAAGTAATTCAAACATAAATTATACTGAGTTAACTTAATATAATAAATGAATGAAAATGATGCTGAGTATCATTTTTATTCATTCATTATATATGTATCATATATGTATTATATATGAGTATCATACTCACGAAGGTTTTGAGCACGTGTTAAGTAAGATTGTTCAAAATGACTTTATAAGTTGATTTATGTAATATAAATATAAGTATATACACACTTAATATATATATATATATATATATATATATATATATATATATATATATATATATATATATAGAGAGAGAGAGAGAGAGAGAGAGAGAGAGAGAGAGAGAGAGAGTGAGAGAGAGAGGGAGAGAGAGAGAGATAAAAATGTATATTATAAAATAAGTTACGCATATATATTTTATGTATAAAATAATATTGATATAAATATAACATTATAATATAAAATATATTATTATTTTAATATAATAATATTATAAACAAATATATGTATATGCACGTCAGAAATATGTTGTATATACATTAATTTATAATAAATAAACTTATGAACTCATATATAATTTTACTCAACTCATGCTCAAAATCTTGGTGAGAATCATTTTTATTCATTTTAATATCAAGAATAAATATAAGCAAACTTATTTGAACAACAAATAAGTTATTATGAACCTCGTGGTTATTATATATTCAGCACAGTTTATAATTACGCATGCGCTAAACTTTGTCGGTCTGCGTTTTTATATAAACACAAAATGTACCTTCGGTGCATTCTTTTTAGGGCTGTCCAAATTTTACATTGTCGTTGAGGATTTTTTTAAATTTAGCTATTAACTTAATTTTCAACCTCTTAGTGAATAAAATACAATATATATATTGTTTATTGTTTTTATATTAATTACTTTCTGCAATTAATATAGGCTTCTTCAAATTATCCAGTAGTTTTGAATCGTTTTCAACTTCAAACAAGTCACTTTGTCTTTTGCAGATTTTAAGTAGATAGTCCATATTTTGTATTTTTTCAATATCAGCATGTTTTAAGATTTTTTCTATGCAATACTGCGATCTTTCAAAAAGACTCTGCAGAAATTGTCCATGTTTATCCATATTAATATTGTTTTCTTTGGCTATTTCGTGAAAGTTTTCATGCTTCCCAGACGCATAGTTAATAATTTTTTGTTTTTCATTAGGTAATTTGTGTAACAGTACTTCCATAACTAAAAAAAAATCAATTAAAAATATAAATATATTGATTACAAAGTAACGTAAATTAGATGTACCTTTTTTAAGCAATATTAGAGTCAAAAAAATTAGTAAAACTATTGTCAGAAAGACTGCAAATGTTTACTAAAAAGTTTGTTTTTAGTATTTGTGACAAAAAGTGGTTTCCTGAAGCCAAAGTTTCTTCAAAATGAATGTTAATTGACAGTAATAAATTTTTAAAAATAATTCAGCAAAACTAGTTATAAGATTCTCTAAATCTTACTGTAATTAGTTTAAAGTTTAGAAAAATGTAAATAGTTGAAAATTTTTATATTTTGATGTATAAACAAAAATTCTGAGCTAAAAGATGTATTTTTATTAGGTGTTAATTAAGAATAAGAGATTTTTTCATACATTGTTTCATTTAGCTTATAACCATTTTAAAATATAGATTTTTAGTGTTATGTTTTGTTTAGGGTTGATTGCTATTGAAAAGTAAAATTAATCATTAAACTTAGCGAATTATTACAATTTTATTATTTCATATAGCTTCATATTGAAACTATATTATTGCTAAAATTCTGAACTAGAAGATGTATTTTTATTGGTTGGAATTGGAGATTTTTTCATACATTGTTTATTTAGTTTATACAACACCTAAAAATATAGATTTTTAGTTGTTTTTTTTAGTGTTGATAGCTATTTATTGCATCTTTGTACTTTATAATTACGACTAGAGATGTGAAGTTTTTTTTTGTGTTTTTTTTTTTGTCATTTTTTTGTAAAAAAACGCAAAAACGCAAGGATCCATTTTTTTAGTTTTTTTGGGAAATATTAAAAAATTCATTTTTTTAGCTAATAAAATTAACTTTAATGGCAATATTTAAGTTCATATTTTAATTTCTGATTTAAATGTCCTATTTTAATAATTAATACTGAAATTATTTTTATTTCGGCATGCTTAAATGTTAACACAGTTAAAGTAATCCTGTATAAAAACTTCTAAGATAATTTTATCTTCCTCAATTTTATCTTTATTGGTTTTAGTGTATATTGACACAATAAAAATTGTTTATTTATGACATAATGGAAGCAGAATCAATAAATCAGATCAAAAACAAACTAGATAAATCAAATATTTGCAAAAACATTTTATTACAAAATTGTTTTTAAGATAATTTGGTTTAAAGATTTAGGAATTGTGCAAAGCTGATACAGTGTAATATCAACTGTTATTGCGCTCCACAACTGTTAACACCAGTTGTTACAGCTACCTCTTATTATTATTATTATTTACATATATTCTATTTAATTAGATTTAACAATTAATGAATGAGACTTAGCTGAATGATGAGTCAAGCGAGAATGAGTTTTTGTTGATGGAGCTAGAGATGAAAACTCTTTTGAGCAGCGGCTATGATAGAATTTGTTGAAAAAAGAAAAAGATGTAACTTTATGACAATAGGAAGGTACCCCAGAAGTAGTATATACATCACATCAACAATAGTGAGTAGTGATTTTTTATCTAAATGAGTTTTAAAACACCATAAAATCTATATATATATACACACCCTCTCTCTCCTAATCATAATTGATTACCTTGTCGGCAATCAATTATGATTAGGCTCTCCATTGGGGAGAAATAAAACTTTCACCTATTTCACTTATTTATTTAAACCTCTGAACCTAATTAGCAAAATAGAAAAAGTTAAGAAATCCTTTTGCCATATAATTAAGTCTAAAAATTGAACTTGAAAACAAAGCATGTTAAAGAATTTTGCAAGTGTTCTTATATAGTGCTATATGAAAATGTCTAGGTCATGTTTATCTGCATTTTTTTAATTAGAAAAAAAATGCAGATAAAAAATAAATTACAAATAAGTAAATTACAAATGACCAGGTGAAGGTGGTTTGGGAAAATTCTGTAAATAATAATAATTCAAAATATTTAAATTTTCCTTGAAATTAAGTTCAGTATAGGGCTTTTTTTTTATAAGGGCCTACTAGCGATATATATTATTTAAAAAAATATAACTAACAATGTAAGACTAAATTACTACACAATATACAAATGTTGTAGGGATGTACCGAAGCTGAAATTTTGCCGAAGCCGAAGCTTCGGCACTATATATGCTTAAAATTTAATCAGCATTCAGATCAGCAGGGGTATAAAACAAAAAAGGTACCAAAACTATGGTCCTTGACTAATAATATAGAAAAATCGTATAAAAATGAGGACGCCAGTCAGGGTTGCAGTTCCAGGCAGGGCAAAAGCTCTCAGCGCCCCTGTTTAAATATTTCTCATTATGTCGTTTCTGATACTTGACCGCACCGAGCGTTTTTTTTTTAAACTTAAGCTTTTTTAAAACATTCTCCCCAAATTTTCCTACTTCAAGTTCTACTTTTTTTGTGTGCAAACCATATTAATGTTATATAGCATCTTTTCATGTGCTGTATATTTTATTTTTATTTTTAATGCACCTTTTGTTAATAGAAATGGATAAAAATCTCTGAACATTACTAGAGTAAATTTATCTTTTGCACTTGATCACTCTTTCTTTAAATAAACACTCTTAGCTGATCTAGTTGTATTTACAACATAAAAAAATCTTAGAAACACACTTTATCTTTTTATTGCTATTTATTTCAATATCTTTTTTTTACTTCTCTGTATTCTTTAAACAAACAATTTCTAAACTGAAAAAAACCCAAGTTAAGACCATTTTGGATTCCACTACAACTGTTGTGAACCTGCTGCTAAAAAAAAGTACAAATGATAGATTTCTCTCTAACTTCTTTTTTACACACTTTTAAGTATTTTTTTTTGATTATTTTTAACTTTACACTACATAACATTTTCTATAGCTTTTTTTAATCTTTTACACTTTAAAATCTTAGTATTCATTCTTCTTCTGTCTCTATAATGGATAAATCTGCATCAGTATCTGAAATCAAATATTAACTATCTGTGATAAAAGCTTCCATAGTAATCTAACAACTCTGTAGAGTGAGCTTTAAATAAAATAATAAATAGAATACTTTATAAATTTTTTATTTATAATTATATTATTATTTACTTTATATTTATAAATAAACAGGGACTGAGCTAGCTGATATTTATTTGATTTAAATTGCTTATTTAATTTAAATAAATTTTGATGATAAATATAAGAGCTCAAAGTAATCAAAGCTTCCACCTTTAATTTATTTTAAATAAAATTTAAAAGTCTTCATAATATCATAAGAAGAAACCAGAATATTGGTTTACATGTTTAATATATAAATTCAATTTAGAAGTATTCATAATATTAATAAAAGAGCAAGGATAGTTATTATCATTGTTTTTCTTTTTCTTTTAATTTATCTAGTTTTTGTTGGCTTTTTTTTTCTTTTCTTATTCTCCTCGTTTATATTTCATTTGCTTTTCTTCCTTTTTTGTTGTTGAGAACTTTTTGTTTTTTATGTGTCACTCCATTGACTATTTTGTATCTATATAAGTGACACCTAACCAATTTCTGTAAATTTACGATGAAAATTTGTAAATTTTTATTAATATGGTTAAATAAAATTTTAAAAAATTAAACATACACACAATTTAAAATAGTAGCAACGTATCTTTAATCTTCTTTAAAGAGAGATTACTAAGGTTTATCGGTCAAAAGTTGAAACCAAATTTTGTTCTATTTGCGGTAATCCCACACAATAATTAATATGAATTCGTTACATAATACAAATTAAGGTTTTAAAAACTTTTAATTTGTTTTAAATTATAAGGTTTTTATTCTGCATAGAAATGCTGCTTCAGTTCATCTAAAGTCACACTTGGAAGCTTTCAAAGTGTATGAGGACCTTCCTTAATTTTATTATTTTTTTCAAAACATTTTTACTTATTTATTATTATCCCCTCCATAACAAGACACTTGGGAGTAAATAATACTGAGTATATGGTATAGACTCCAACTTTAACTCTGTAGTCCTAAATTTACAACTTTATTAGACACTGGCAATTAGCTTATTTTTATAACTTGTCCCACAGTAGCTTATAACTTTAATTACTTAAAATTTTCGCCGAAGCCAAAGATTCGGCAAAAAATTGACCTGGCTTCGGCCGAACCGAAGCTTCGGCAAAATTGCCGAAGCTTCGGCACGCCGAAGCCGAAGCTTCGGTACATCCCTAAAATGTTGTAATAAGTAAATCTCAATAGATTGCTATTATATTATTATTGCTCAATAGATTGCAGTCTGATAGACTTCAAATGCTCAAAAAAATAAGGATAATTAAATTGGCATGGTATTATATACTAATATATTTACATTATCAAAATTAAAATGGTAACTTTCTTATACGATAAGAATAGTTTCTATATGTGATGAGCGTATCACAGTTGTTAGTACAACAAAGCAAAAATAAATGTTTTTATCAGTATGCCTAGATATAAAACTAACTTAAAGCTAATTTAACTTTGTTATTAAAAATTTATATTTAATTTATGTTCATGCATCTAATTGTGCTTTTAATGGTCATGTATTAAAAATATACTAGAATAAAGGAAAACTTTTCCAAAATTTATGCAAAAAAAAAAAAAAAAAAGCAAAACAAAACTTAAAAACCCAAAAAAACACTTTATTTTGACCAAAAAAAAACGCCGAAGGCAAAAGACCTCTTTTTTTGCACCTCTGATTATGACATATAATAGCTTTGTTGTTAACTACAACAAAACAGCAAGACTATATTAATTTTAAATTTAGCTACATATTGACTGGGGTAACTATAGGCCTGCAAAACACACAGTTAAGGAGAGCCCCAGGCAAAAAAGGGGCCCATATTTAAGCGGAAATGCAAAAAATACCACATTTAACCTAAAATATTTGATTAAATTTGATTTAATGGAAATTTTTTTGGCATTGATTATTTTAAATAAGTTTAATACCTTAAAACTGTTAAAATTTAATCCCAATAATTTATTTAACCATTTAAAAAATTATCTATTAAGTTATTCATGGGTATAAATGAGGGGGAAGAAAGAGAGAAATTTGAAAAACTTGCTGGGGGACCAGAATTTTAATATTTTTTTTGAAAAATTTATAGTTTAATGGTTTTGTGGCCATTTTATTTTATTATTTAAATAATATTATTTAAATAATAAAATAAATTTTCTTACCCTGTTTATGTTTCTTATGGAGATCATGTTTGAAATAATTTCAAAAGTTGAAGTTTTTTTTTGGATTATTGATATTTATGCTTCCTTTTAGTAATTTAGCTTTTCTTTTAACAACATTCATGTCCCAAGAAATTAGACTTAAACTTAATTTGTTATGGTGGGGTACAGTGAATTGGGGTACGGCGAACAGGTTGATTCACTATGCCTTATTAATGATCTTAAAGATTAAATTCATAAATTTTAAACAAACAAACTACATGAATATGAATTTATTAGTTTTTTAATTTTTTGATATTTTTATAAGTGATATTGATATATTTTTTTCATCTCAATTTTCAAAATGTCTATTTTTTCGATTTTTTACTAATCTAGTTTATAAAAGTATGCCAAAAGTGTAGTGTACTATCATTAACCCATGGTTGTGTTCATTTATTCACTGTACCCCAGTATCGGGTGGACACGGAAAAATCTGGTCAACTTTAAATTGAGATTTCTCCAAAACCACAAATGCTTTTTATTTAATTTTTTTTTAATTAAACTTTACTTCCTTATGTTAAATGGTGTTGATAAATTTTTGTTTACAAATTAATGATTTGCAAAATGTTTTGGAAACAAATTGAGGTGCGTAAAATAATTGTGAATTTATTTTGCAAAAATCCATCCACTTCAATCGCTTGATTGCTAAACGCAAAAATGTCCCAAAATCTACAGTCATAGATATTATAAACAAGTTTAAGACTACTCAAAGCTTCGAAAGAAAACTTGGAAGTGGAAGAAAAAAACTTTCCATAAATCCAAAAAGGTAAAGTCGATTTTACGTTCAATAGCAAGAAATCCAAACAAGTCACAGCGAGATCTAGCAAGAAAATTCAAGACTTCTCGTTCTTATATCAAAAAAGTACTTAAAAATGCTGCAATTAAAGCATTTCATAAAAAAAAATACACCTAAAAGAAGCTTAAAGTGTGAAATTAAAGGAACTGGTCACGCAAAGAAGGTTAAAATAATGGCAGATAAAAATATGTGCATAATTATAGACGACGAAATGTATTGCAAGGCGAATTTTTCACAACTTTCTGGTCAACAGTTTTACTATGAAAACAAAGATAAACCTGTCGATGATCAATTTAAATATATTCGACGAGAAAAATTTGCATCCTAGTTCCTTGTGTTGCAAGCAATTTGTAGCTGTGGTATGCAGTCCTCTTATTTTGTCTCTAAAAAGACCTTGACTGCTAATCTCTACATTAAAGAATGCCTCCAAAAAAGACTTTTGCCTTTTATAAAAAAACACAAATACCGATGTCTCTTTTGGCCCGATCTTGCTGCCTCTCACTATTCTAAAAAAGTTCTACAGTGGTGCAAAGATAATAATGTAAAAATTGTTCCTAAAGATGCGAATCTTCCAAATTATCCTGAAGAGTGTAAGATTGAAGATTTTTAGGCAATAGTTAAAGGAGTTCTTCATAAGACAGGTGGAGTAACAAATAATAAAAAGGACTTCCAAAAAAAGTGGATAAATGCCACCAATATGGTGAAAAAAGAAAAAATCTGTGAAATGATGGCATCAACCCGCTATAAAGTTTGATTTCTTGCCGAACAACCCATTGAGCCCCTTAAAATTAAGTTAAAACTTTAATTGATGTAAGCACATTTAATAATAAAAATATTGAAATAAAAAGTTGACCGGATTTTTGTGTCCACCTGATACTGGGGCACTGTGAATAACATAACACAACTCACTTTAAACATTTCTGTGAGCCGTTAGATAACAAATATTTGGGTTTTATTGATATATATATATATATATATATATATATATATATATTATTATTATTATTATTAGTATTATATATTTTATTATAATTTAAATATATGTACTTGCATTTCTTAACTAAAATACAAATATTTTGGGTAAAGAAAAAGTAAAAATAGTGTACAAATACTATTTGTATTTCTTAATGTAAAATACAAATAATCAATTTGTGTATAATTGGATTTAAACTTGTATTTAGAAGTCTAGAATAAGTTTATTTGTTTTTGATCAAATATATTTAACTGCAACGCTGACGTATTTATCAAGTCACCTGTTTTTCAAAAAATCCGGTATAGATTCTCCTTTATGTGCTTTAACATTTATGTGGTTTTATGTAATCAATTCATTTATGTGGTGTTGTTTAGACCTGTGTAGCCTAGTCGGAGCCATGGAGCCGCTGTTTTTTGGCGTAGCCAGAATCACAAAAATTGAGTGGCTCTTGACTCTCTTGTTTTTTTAAAGGAATAGTATATAAAAGTAATCTATGTTTTTTTTATAGTAGACAAGTATTTATTGTTTAACTAATTTATTGAATGAATTATTTATTGAATTTTTATTTTTATTAGCTTTAGTAATAGTCTTGCCAAAACATAATAAAAATTCTACATATATTTGTTTTGTATTATATAATATATACTATATTGATTTTATGTAGTTAAATAAACGATTTGCAATTTAATGATCAAAGGTTATTTATATTTTTAAAATTATACAACCCAGTGGGTATGGTATCTAAAAAATACATTTTTTGAATGTCTTTTGAGTAATTTGGATATCTTTTGAACATTCAAAAGACTTTTTTTATATTCTGTGCCTACTGGATAGAATTAGAACTAGAATTAGAACTAGAAACCTTAGTCTTGGGTTAATAATATATAAAAATAAATGTATATTTACCCAAAATATTTTTCTTTTCAAATGTAATATGTGGTAGTAAAGTAGTGATAGTAATAAATTGTGGTGATAGTAATATACCTTGTAAACATGAAAGTTGGTTAAAAATTATTTGCTTGTTTGGATTTGGGTAGGCAAATATAATCAAAGCCCGAGAGCCAGAGCTGAGCCGGGAGCCAAGTCAGACATTTCTTAGGAACTGGAGCCAAGCTGTAAAAACAACTTTTGGTTCTATAAGCCACAAATTTTTCACTCAATCACCTTTCAACTTTTTCACTAAAGCACCTTTCTTTTTTGTTCTGTTTCTTGCTCTGTTTTTTGCCAAGAATGCATTCATTTGGATCTTGTTTTTGATTAGATTGATAAAACCTGTTATTATTGTCCCTCTTCCAATATTATTCTTATTAGTAACTTTAATGCTCATAACACTGAATTGTTTAGATCAAAAACTTCGTTCAACTAACCATGCTGGCTTTAAAACCTAAATTTTTTGTCTTTTTCAATCTCTTAAAAAAGATAATTCTATATAAGGAAACAGTCCTTAATTAAGAAATTTATTTAAATTAAAAAACAAGAACTTTAATATTTAAGTAAGTTTAATGAAACTAAATTTCTAAAAAAAAAAAAAAAAAAAATTTGTGTTAATTTTTCTATTTTTTATTTTTAAAAAAGCAAGTGTTACTGGGTCCAACATGTTGTGCTGCTTGGAAAGACTACTGCATCTCTTAAACAAAAATATGTTAAAAACCCAGATATTTAAGCTCCTAATAAAAAATTAAAACAGAATAACTGTAATTGTTTTAAGCAATTAAAAAAAAGTTCATATAAAAAAATTTATCTTATAAGAAACTAATCAAATTAAAAACAGGTTTTAAGACCACTTTCTAAAAAAACTATTTGTTTGATTTTCAGAAAATTAAATAATATAAAAACAGTATAAATAATAGTAATAAGTAGTTTATATAGTTATATAGCTAATAACTTTTTTTCTTTCTGATTGAGGCAAAACTAAACATTTTTTGATTGAGGTAAAATATTTTTTTATTAACTCTTAAAAAATTAAATTTGTCACCTTTTCTTTAGATAATAAATGAACCAAATATTCCAGTAATATTACTTTTTTTGGTAATAGTTGGTTTAACTTTAAATTGGCATGCAATATGAAATCACTCAACATAAAAAAAATATTTCTATAAAAATTGAAACTTAGCAAAAAATATTGAATAAAAAATATATATTAATAATAAAATAAAGATATATAAAACTGTTTATACCTATGTGTATGACTAAGATTTCACCTAGGTATCCCATAATATTTAATTGTATTGTGTCCTCGCCAGATTCATCTTCATTAGTAACTTTCGTTGTTGATAATTTAAAATATTCTTCTTGTACAATTTTTTGTTCACTTTTAAAACTTTTCACAGCTTTACTTGCAAGTTCTAACACAATCATCAGATCCAATTTTTTTTTAGCACCAAGTTTTAAATTCATCTCTAATTCTTTCTTGTATATTTGCCCTTATGTATCAAATGAAATATAATTATCATCTACACTAATTGCTTTATGTGCATTTTTTATTGCATCATTGAAATAATTGTGTTCTAAATAAAGTTTCGATAGTGTTTGATAAACATATGAAAGATTTTGACTTAAATCCTCATCGGAATTTTTCAGCATAAAAATTAATTTTTTAAGTATTAAAACACATTTATTCATATTATTTTCATCATAGATTCTTAAAAGCAATGTAGAAAATGATTCTTTGACTGAATTAATCATCCTATGCGATTGAATTTTTTCAGTAGAATCTTGATTCTTCCTTTGCCTTTGAACAATCATTTTACAAAGATCTATAATCAGCTTGGATTTTAAAAATTGATTTTGTATAAAAGACTTATTTTCTAGGAGTTCTGTTATAACAGATAGGATTGTGGTTTTATTTCTTTTTTAAATCTGTGTTAAAAAAATCTTTGCTACTGCAAAATGGGTTATTTTCATAACAGAATAACTTCCAGGCCCAGGTTTACTCTCTTCAGATTGTCTCACAAGCATTTGAAAGTATTCACAGGTAACATTTTTCAGGTCATGGTCTTTTATTTGCCACTTTTTCCCAAGTACTTTATAAGCATGGGATACTGAAATGTTGCCATCCTCAATAAAACATTTAAAAACTGCTAAGTATAAAAGTAGTTTTAACTCCCTTGAGTAAACATCGTTAAGATGACCAATAATTTTATCCACTATTTTAATGATATAATCTTTATAAAAATCTGAAAGGTCGCTGTTCATAAATGTCAGGAAACCTAACATATCTTCAAGAAATATATCTTCTTTTTCAATAAAATTTTCAAATTGATTGAGTTTAGACTCAAATTTTTCTTTTTCGTTTTGTGTAAACTTTTCATTTAGATTTATACAGTTAGAAATATCAAGTTTTTCATTTTGTATATATAATATTATACCAACTGTGGTTTCAAATTTAATTCCTCTGTTATTTATTTCATTTTGAATTTTATTTTGAAAAATTTCAGCAATTTCTGTTGAAGTATCATCCAGTAGAATGAGAAGAGGGAGGCAACTTTGATTTTTATTTAAACCTTGAACTACATCATCCATCTCTTCAAATGCTCTGATTGAAATGATAAGTTTTACAACAACATCCATAATATAAGTATTTAAAATATGACCATTAATTAGTAAACATCTAAAGGATGATCTTTTTTGCCATAAAACATGCATTAAAGCAGTTGTTGCTCCTGTTCCAGGTAAATGGCCAACTCCTATTAAACAAATACTCATATTCTTGCTTGTAACACATTGATTTATTTTGTTTTTAATACAACCTACAATTTCTCTTTCAATGAGAGCACTTGGTTAAGTTTCTTTAAGTGGCAAATTAGTAATGTTATCTGAAAAAAAAAAAAAAAACTCCAAGATGTTTCTTTTCCTTGCATAAATGCTTTCATTTCCTTACAAAACAAGCTTGTTAAACTTACACTTGTTTCAGATAACAATTCCTCACATTCGTTTGCTGCAAGAATTGTGACACCATAATTTTTAAATATTTCAGAAATTTCATTTTTAATGATGACTTGAGTTTTTTGTGATGTTAATAAGTATCTTTTACTAGTTGGAACACTCTTGTATTGCTGAACAAAAGCTGAAATATCTGACCATTTTAAAATCACAGATTGTTCTTCTAAAAATTTACACATACTTGAATCATATTCTTGTAAAATGGCATTTTTTACAAACTTTAAATGTTTATAAGATTGTGCAAGAAACACAAATTCATTAAGAACATCAAATTTAATGCATATATTCTTCAAAAAATATTTTAATTCCTTTCGATTTAAACTTGAGCATGGACAAATGACAAGTATCATATCTGAAGGAGAATCTATGCACTTCGGACCAGTAAGCATATTAAACAGTCTAATAATCTTGGAAAGATAATTTTGTCTCCATAAATAAAAGTATTCCTGGTCAGACTCCAAACTTTCAACACATGTTATATGCAATGCTTTTTTTCTGTATTGACAAATTTTAAAAACATGTTTATAGTTGATTCATTTTGAAGTTTTTCTTTAAAATCATTAACTAAATGAACAAAAATTATATATATTATTTATGCAATGTATGTATGTATGTATGTATGTATGTATGTATGTATGTATGTATGTATGTATGTATGTATGTATGTATGTATGTATGTATGTATGTATGTATGTATGTATGTATGCATGTATGTATGTATGTATGTATGTATGTATGTATGTATGTATGTATATATGTATATATATTTATGTATGATACATATTGAAAAACGAAAAAAACAATTAGCTGTCAAGTCTGTGTTAAATTGATTGTACATTTTTCATAATTCTTTTGATTTTTTTTCTTTAGATTTTTGTCTCTTGATCTTAATTAATATAGTATTTTGAGAATATAAAATAAGTTAATAAAAACTCATTTTAAGTTATAACTTAATAAAAAATTGAAACCAGATTAAGTAAGAAAAAACTGTTCACTCTCTCTTGCCTAATTATAGATAGAGGGGCAAGTGGAGAGGAGATACCGGTTTTTAAAGTCTTCAATTTTTGTAAATTTTAAATAATTTTTAACTTTGATTTTAAATAATTACTACTCTCCAATCAAAGATTTTTTTATTAAAAAATACATTTTTTAATTAACCTAAATTAAAACATTTTTTAATAAACTTCCCTCTAAAAAAACACATTTTTATTATTAGGGAAAAGTTTTCATTGCTAACAATATGCTACTTTAATTTGTTTTGAAATTGATTAAAATTATTTCATTATTATTTAAATTATTTATTTGTTTTGAATTTTATTATTTAAATTAAAAGTTTAATATCTCAATAATAATATAATAAACATAATACTTAATAGTAATATTATTATATAATTTTATAATATATAATAATGATATTATTACAGGAGAGTTAAAAACTCACATATACAAACATCTCCATGCTAACAATAATTAATTTAATAATTATAATAATAACTGATTCTCGATATTGGAAAAATCCAGATAAGAACATACTGTTAAACCATTAAAAAAAAAAAGGTTTTTATTAATAAGTGGAAAAAATTAGTCTTATTTCTCAATTGTTTTTATAATTATATAATAATAAATTATTTTACAGTAGATTGCAAAAGTTTAGAAATACTAACTTTTTTTTTGGTTATGGGTTAAACAATTTTTATTTATCACAAAGCCTGATGTAAGTGTATTTGATATTGTTAATAAACTACAAACCACTTATAAGTTTCATTTATTTTTAAAATGTTAGTTATGTATTTCATTACTAATTTTATCAAATAAATTAAAAGCATTTTTTACCTGTAATGCTATCTGGCGGTATTATTACGCTATCTGCATTTTGTAGTGCAGTAGAAAGTATACCATTACTAGCTGAATCCGGATTAAAATCAAAAATTGCTTTCCAATTAATTTGCTTCACCCATTCAAAATCTGAAAAATCTGACATTTTGCAGCATTCATCAGTACAATAACTATTTATAATAAGAAAGTACTTGTACTTATCATCTGAGAATTTGTTCTCTTCTTTGCATAATAAATTCTTCAGCTTTTGCTGTTTATTTATTGGGGTAATGTTTTTATAAGACTGAATGTATCTTCTCTCTTCAGCTAAAAATTTGCACTTAGTGCTAATAAAATTTTCTTCTTCTTTGCTTTTCGGATTAAGAGGAACATTTAAAGAATCTTCCCGTAAGAAATATACTCCATTTTCATACTTACTAGAATTAAGTTTAAACTTAAGAAACTTGCAAATAAAAAAATTTGGTTCTATGTCAATCTCAATAACAACACGATCTGAATCTATTATTGGAATAAATCGAATAGAGCTCATACATCTTGAAAAAACACTTTGTTCTTCTCGAGAACATTCTTGAAGACTTTTAAATGGGGTCTTTCTAAAATGTTTTTCTACCCATTCTTGATTCTTGTAATTGCTAACCAAAGAAGTGATTATACCTTTTATTTCTCCATGATCAGATTTTCCATCTTTGCAGTCAGAAATGCCAAAGAAGATTGTACCATTATATCTTGAATTCATACAAGCTGCAGCAAAAGTACCGAGCTTGTGTATAAATGCAAGTTTTATATCTTTTTCACTTAGGTTAGGATTATCTAAAAAAAATTTTTTACTAAAAGCTTTGTTTTTTAAATCATATTTCAAAGACTTATTGCAGTTTTCAACCATATAGACATTATGTTTCTTTTTAAACAATTACGCCAAAGCTGCAGGCCTTGTTAAGAAGCGTTAAGCAGCTCGCTTTTTGCCTGCGAAAAGGCGATTTGCCTACGCGTTCAGCAGTTATGCGTTACGCAAAAACTTTTTAAAATGGTCTGTTTTAAAATTAAATGAAAGAATTTTAATTAAATTTAATAAATTTATTTACTAAAAACTATAATTATTAAAAAAATATTTAAATTTAATAAAATAAATTGATCTTTAAGAATATTTAAATTATCTTTTTATATCGTTTATGTGACGTTCATTCAGAAGTATTAAAGTTGTAAGTAAAAGCATTTAACCGCAATTGTAAACTAATAGATTTTTTGTTAAAGAAACAATTTGTTTAATAATTTTTTTTTTTGTTTTTAAAAATTACTTAAAGAAAATACAGTGTTTTAAGTTTAAAATTTTCATCATATTTAATTTTAAATATTAGATTTCATAAGTTTATAAACAATCAAATTTAAAAAAAGAAATATTTTCAATTTATTTTATTAAATTTAAATATTTTTTTAATAATTATAGTTTTTAGTAAATAAATTTATTAAATTTAATTAAAATTCTTTCATTTAATTTTAAAACAGACCATTTTAAAATTTTTTAATTTTAAAATGCTCCGTTTTTTTTATAAAATTACCAAAGTAAAAAAAGATTTGATAAATTTAATTCAAGTTACTTTAAAATGTTCGTATTACATATAACTTTATTTTAATTTTAGTTAAGTTTCAGGTAAGTTCCAAATACTGGTCTGAAAGATGCGCTTACAAAAGCGCATTATTTTCCAGTTTTTATTTTTCCATTATTTTACTGTTTCATTATTATTTACAGAAGCGCATTATTCATTTTATAACTACAAGTTAATAAATGACGTCAATACTTTTAAACTCGAGTTATAAATGTTATGTTTGGGTTTTCCCTTTGCCGTTTGCCAAAGAATTTTTTTTTATAAAACAAACCAAGGACGTATTAACAATACGTCCTTGAACAAACTAAAATACAAACCTATTAAAAATAACGTAATCAGTAAATAACTCTTTAAAAACCCAACTTATCTTTATTTTATTTTAAAAACAAAACTAGTACTTGAGCTATAAATATAAGATACATAAATTTCAAAATTATAATGATATTTGTTAAAAACAAATTCTGCTTATAACATCTGAAAACCGAAAACACTATTTTTATTTGGATTGAGAAAAAAAATATTAGGTTTCACTGTACATAAAAATAAAATAGTTTAATGGAAATAAAAAAAAAACAAAGCCGAAAAAGCAGTAAATTTCGTTTCTTTACAACATTTATTTTATCAAAACAAACGTTTTTTTTAAAACGGAAAACCCAATCTATGCGTTTAGTTATAAGTACATTTAAATCCCTTTAAGAAAATCAACCATAAACAAGTGTTAAATTTAAATTATTAAAAAAAAAAAAAAAAAAAAAAACAACCATAAAACGAATGTTTAAAAGCAAGAAAATTAAGTTTAAATAAGTATAAGATTTTAATACAAGAAGACTTTTTTTTAACCAACATTGAAATTTTTTTTTTTTATAACAACATTGTACAATTTAAATTTAAAAGTTTCAAAGACTAACAATAGTTTTTAATGTCATTTTAAATTTAATTACAATGAAGTAAAAACGCAACTGACGTAAATTAACTTTTAACAATGTAAAATTAACTTTTAACAATGTAAAAATCTTAATTGAGTAAAGTTACATTTATTCACGTTCTGCTTTTCCGTTACGCAGCGAAATCTCGTAACAAGGCCTGAAAGCTGCATGTAACAACTATTTAAGTTAAGAGTTAGTTGGAAAAAAATCAAGAAATTATAAAATATTGGAATAAAACTTAAATTAGTTAATTAATAAATTTGGTAAATAAAACAAAATTTGTTAAATTAACAAAAGACAATAATTTCAACAGCAACAATGTTAGTATTTGTGGAATCAAGTAAAAAATACAACATTGTAATGCAGGCGGCGTAAAAGTCTAAATGAGAAATAACAAAAAAAACCGAGGTGGTTAGAATGTCTAACTATAAATTAACTAATTTGTCAAAAATATGTCAATCCATTTTTATAGATAAATCTTAATGCGACAAAATAAAGGAATATTTTTGTATATTGATAATTAATAAAGTTGCATACCTGGTGTTTTTCTTTTATTATCTATAACTTTAGTTATTTACATTAAATTTTTTTACAAAGTTTTGATCTGAGTGATTCAGTGTACAATACCGCTCTCATCATACTTTACAAGTGATAAAATTTTAGGACATTTATATTTAGGAAAATTTCCATAAATTTTCCAAAATTTCTAGGAAATTTTGGAAAATTTATGGAAATTTTCAAAACTTTTTTGTTGCAATAAACTTATTGTTTATTATACAGTTTTATTGGGTTTTCTTTTTTTGGATTTGGGTATTCTTTAAATATTTCAACAAAAAATATGAAAATAATAAAAACCCACAAGGGAAAAATACACATCTTTAAGTCAAATTTTTATAATCGAATTTATTGCACATTTTTTAAAAAAAAACAATAAAATGCTCAAGTTGTTATACTTTTATTTACATTACTTTTGTGAAAGAACAAAAAGTAGATGTTTTCTGAGTTAGCTTGTCTTTTGAGCTTGTTTATAGCATATTTCTAGCTTTTACTTCTCTCAACTACGGTGTAAAATATTCGCAAAATAAAATCTTTTTTAGGTTAACAAGTTTTATTTTGTATTATTTTTGTAGAGTGTTTTAAAGGAACAAAGGTTTTTTATGTGTAAAGATTGCATACAAAGATGATTTTAAGGGGACAGTGTGTGGGGGAAGGGGTTGTTCTACCCCCACAAAAAAGGCAATTTTCAAATTAAAGAGAGCAGACAGCATCCATTAAAGAAAAAAAAAAAAAAGGAGAGATTAAGTTATCTAGTTTTTATAATTAAATATAGGAAATTTATGTAAATATGTAACTTATATAAATTGATAACAATAAATGAACATTTTCTTCCTAATGGTGGATTTGAACCTACTGAAATGTTAGAGTGAAAGCAGCAGGCCAGGTTGAAAAGTGGTGACATTAATCATGAAAAAAGCATGTTCCAACTTACACTTTTAGTTAGCAGAGTTGTTAAATTTACCCTTTTAACCTTAAAATTAAATAAAAGGCTGTTCGTTGCCTCACACCAAGCCTATAATGTCTACCTTAAATTGTTTTAGAAAGGTAAACAGAATAAATTAAGTCTAGAAAATCTAGAATATATTATCATTTTTTGGAAAAACTTCTTATAGTTTTAGAAATAGCTATGTAAGGTGTATTTCTGAAAAAGATATACATTTCCTTAGCACTTATGACAAAGATAAAAAATGCATTACCTTTTACACAAAAGGTATAAGTCCTTCCATGGCAAAATAGAAATAAAAAGTTTTTTCTTGATACAAGTGTCTTCCTTAAATTTTCTAGATTATTAGATTTTAACAGACTTTATCAAAATTTAATTGCAGGTCAAGCCAAACTTGTTCTAAAAAGTTTTTTTATAGAGAATGAATTTGATGTTTTACCATGAAAAAGATTGTGTTTTTTTGTGACAAATGTATTACTTCTTGACCAGGTCTTTTTTACAACTGTATGAATTTAATTTTTAAAGTAGGAATTGTGTTTTTTTTATTTTTAGGCTATTACTAGTTAATAAATATGAAAAATAAGTTCATAAAGACAAAAAAGTATATTTATGCAGACTGAAGCATAAAAAAAAGAAAGTGGTCTGAAAAAGAAACAGGTAAATCTAAAATTAGTTGAAAATCTTTATCTAATCTCTATGTGTATATATATATATATATATATATATATATATATATATATATATATATATATATATATATATGTATGTATATATATGTATATATATATAATATATATATATATATATATATATATTTATATATTTATATATATATTATATATAACAAAATTTATATATATATATATTATATATATATATATATATATATATATATATATATATATATATATATATATATATATATATATATATATATATATATATATATATATATATATATATATATATATAAATTTTGTTCGCTATCCAATCTGTGACTTGAATCCTTATATTTTCTTTACAAGTTTATTACTACTCACTGGGTTTCATTAGATAAATATGGCATTCTTGGTAGATAGAAAAGGTACACAAAGGTAGAACATCGAATCAAGTGTTTAATCGTTTGGTAACCAAGTTAAAACAAGCCAAAACAAAGTACACTAAATGTTTAAGTCTTAACTGCTTTTGAGCAAAGTTACTCACATTTACAACATTGTTTTTTTTGCATATGCGACACAATAATCGCAAAAAGTGACCAACGTAGCTGTCCAGTTATGGGAGATGGGAGATGTGAAAATAAAAACAGATTGAAGATGATGTCATATAGGTAAAAAAACATAAATTAATGTAAAGACTATTTAGTTGGAGGAGTAAAAGTTAGCAACTTAGTATAAGGAAAATAAAAACTCACACTCTAGTCATCTTTAGCAAATGATGAAACAATGATCTATGAGTAAACAAGTCAATAAAAATCCGCTGGTTTATAATGGTATTCATAACTAAAATAATCGTACCATACAAATGTCTAATAAATGTGGTACTGTATATGTTCTAAACTCTAGATAAAAAATTGAGAACTGATAATCACCTGTGTAACATAAAAATATATAAATGTTGTTAATGTAACAAATTCATAATAAAAAGCTCACAAAGCGCAAAAATATATGGGTGTAAGAGGTAAAAAAATGTTGATGCCATATTAACCAATTAGAATAAGCAGTGGATAAATGGTGATCCCCCTCCTCAGGAATGCACTGCGACCACCAATGACGTTTTGGAGAGCCCGAGACCTGCACTAATGCCACTCGTCAGGGGCATGTCTTTGCAACAGATCTCACCGCCTGCACTCATGCTAGTCAATATTGCAATATAATAGGACTACACTAGAAAAGCCAAAAAACCCAATTCCTATCCCCGTTTTTGAAAACAGCTCCAACATTCTTAGAGATCTCGCGAGGGTGGTGAGGGACGCGCGTGGTGAGACCATAAACAGATATGTAAACATATAAGTATAAGATACCCTTACATTAGAAGAAACAAACTTGTACACATGTACGTATGCGCGTGTATAAATAAACAATAATAATGTGTAGAAATAAGTAATTAGTAATTAATAATTAAATAGTAATTAATTATTAATAGTAACTTACCGTTTCTTTTATGGCTGAAATATTTATTATAAATATAATAAGTAAATACCACTCATAAGCATTGATACTAAGTTAAGATGTTTTGTGGTTAGTACGAAAGTAGTTAAACGAAAGTATGATAAAAAATATATAACTCTAAATAGTATGTACTCATATAAATCTTGCCTGGTAAGTAGAGACAGTAGCTATTACACAAAACAGACTCAGAATAATTAAATAACGATTAGCCAGAGATAAAAACATATATAAACATTAAATCAGTAGGCAAAAAATAATGAGGAAATAAAAAGATAAGACAATATATGCGATTTTGAACTAATAGCTTATAACCACTAAAAAATGTAACGTTAAAAAACAATATTGTTGACAAAACGACCAAATGAACGTTAGTGAAGACTGTATAGTGCAAAAAAAAAAATGTAAAAAGTGCAACTTTATTGGATAGCATGTTAAAAAAAATACAACGGTACCCGCCTAAAATGTTTAACAAGTATATTTTGTATTACATAAATGGTTAATTCGTTTTTAATCCTGCTGTTATAATTAATTTAAATTAATTTTTAAAGTAATTATTTTCTAAAAGTTGAATTGGAATATCCTTAATCTTATCATTAACTAAAGCCATTTTAATATTGTCGCAATATTGTAATTCAAATTGTCACTTTTATTAATACTTTTAATAATTTTTACATTGTTTTAATTTATATAATTATATACATTGAGTTATAAATAATTAAAAGGTTTTTTAAAAGAGTTACCTAATCCTGTTGTTATCATCTTTTCTTTTATAGTTTCACAAATATTAATAATTTTTGTAAATAACTTGTAGATTAATTTGTTTATTCTATAGATATGTTGATCATTTTCTTAATTCAAACAGAAAAGTTGTTACATCAGAGCTCTAATTAAGCATACCGCAAATTGTGATTGCTTTTTGCACTTTCACAATTAGTTTTTTTATAAAAAATTTCTTTTCGCAAATTATTATTTCTTTTTTTTCGTAAAATTAAACTTAAGCTATTTTAAACTCCCCCAAACAAGAGTATTATAAGGTAATATGTACATGTATACCTGTAATAATATGTGAGATGATATATATGTAATATGTACAGGAGTGATTTTATAACTAATTTGATAATTATTTTTATAACTTTATTTCTATAATATTTAAATATAAAGCATATATACATAATATTTACATTATTCCTTTTGAAAAAAAAAAAATTCAAAAAAAAAATTATAAACTCACCTAAAGAGAATTCATTAAACTCCCTAATAACTTTGTTTAAATATTGTGGTTTTTCAGGCATCAAAATTGATCCTTGTTTATATTTTAAGTCAGATGAAACAGATTCTCCAAATTTTCTAGGAAGTTGAAGTTTCTCTTTAATAGTGACTAATCCTTCATAAAGATAGTTGTCTCTGATTTTTTTGATAATTATAAATTTTGGCACAGGAATAGAAGTATCTAATTTTTTAAAGTCACTTAAATTGAAAGTTGATAGATGTGTCCCATCAAGTTTTAACTGATTGAGAATAGTTGCATACTTAGAGCTAATCTTTTGGTTTGTTAAAAAATTGAAGACTTCATTTGTATCCCAAGACATCATTTGAGCTAAAGATATAAAGATTACAGTTCAAATTATATTTTCATATATAACCATGGCCTGTAACCATGTCCATTTAAAAAATGAAAATTGAGTGGGTGAGTTGAAAGTGTTAGGAATATCTTCAATATAAGAAGAAGAAATACAGAAAAAGTAATTTTGAATGTCTTGTAGCTCCTGAGATAGAGATAAATATAATTTGAAAATCAAAATCTGCCATTTTGAATTTGTTAAATGCCAATATCTCTAAAAGGATCAACATTTAAGCCTAAAAGTTATTTTTATTCTTTTTGAGTTTTCTAAAATTAAATTCAAAGTTAATTATTTTCAAGTGAAGTTAAAAAAAGTAGTGGCCAAGTATTACTTAATTTTATGATAATGCAATCTTTATTTTAATTTATTGAATACATATGATGCAAATACATTTTATTAATTTTGATAAATGAAATAACTTGTTTTTATATTTAGATAAAATAATAACAAGTATCTTAAAACTTAGAGTTAAAATGAGTTTAAAGGTTTAGTAAAACTCCGATATTACAAAAAATTTAATCTCGGAGTTTTACTAAACATTGATTGCCATAAAACTTTGTTTACTCAAATGGTTGGCAAAAAGGTTATTCAAAGCTTTACTGAAGAAAAAAAAATTCTTGCTTGGAAATGTGATATAACTTTAAATAACTATAGTTCTATATGTTTTCATCATGAAAAGATGTTTCTTGCACGTTATGAAACTACACAAACTGTTATAAAATAAAACTAAAATGTTTAATAAGTAATAATTGAAAATTTTTTTGTCATTACTTTATGTTAATGACAAAAAAAATGGACATTTTTATGTATGAACAAGTTTTATGTATATTCAAAGGTTCATATTTTTTATAAAAATTGTAATAATAATTGTTAATTGTATAAATTGGTTTTCTTTTTTTTTTTTTTTTTGAGTCCCTTCAAATTAATTCAAATTATTAATTTAAATTATTTGGGAATTTCTAATAATAAAATTTCTATTAGTTGCTTATTAAATATTATTTGAGACTAAGATTTATTTTGTGAATCATTAAGGAAAATCTGATTGTCAAATCAAACAGAAATGAATGAAACCTACTAAACAGAAATGAATGAAACCTATTAACATTAAGACTAAATAGTTGGACAATCCAACAAATAACACTACTTTTCTGTCAATGGTTAAAAAGTCAATGGTTAAAAAGGCGTGTAAACTAAAGACTAAAGGTTAAATCTTAAGAGAGTGTAAAAAAATAATCACAAGCACTTAAAACAAATTTTTGGGCAAATTTTTATTTTCGAGTAAGAAAGATTTTGTTTCGGTTAAAATCAATAATCAAAAAGAACATACCTAAAAGTAATCATTACTTTTAGATCTACAAAGAGCTACATTTAGAAAAAAAAATAGGACTTTAAAATGTTTTGTCAACTTTGTCCAAAATTGTGTTGAACAGTAGATGATGCATTTGGTGTGCATTCAATTTGTGTCTATCAAGTAGCACCTATTATAAATAAATAAATAAATAAAAAAAAGACAAAACATAGAGAATTTACATGCTGGAATATAAAAAATTGATTGCGAAATTTGATGCTCACAGACAAACAGACAAGAAGTTAATAAACCGGACCACATAGGTAATTTACATTCTGGAATATACCTTGAATATGTCTATGATGATAAGTGGTACATTGGAGTTGTACAAGAAATTGCAGATGGTTCAGATATTTATATAAAATTCAAATCAAATTTCTGAACAAGCATTTGAAAAAATATCATTAAATTTTGATATGTTTAACCAAAGTATTTAGACTATTATCTTGAGAACAAGATTTATTATTTTATTTTTTACATTTTTTTATTGTAACTGAGATTTATTTCTTGGCTTTTTTTGAGTTTCAAATTTACTCATATATTGGAAAAATATAGGTCTTTATGTACAAATATCTTCGTTTTACAAATATCAAATATCTTTATTTTATCTAAATTTATTGTTAAATTTTTTTTAAAAAAAAGAATAAATAAAAAAAATTTTACATTAAAATGTTCAAAATTATTTTTTCTGTATTTCTTATATTGAAGATACATTTCTAAAAGTTTCAAGTGTTAAATTTACTGGACACCCGGTTAATTTTTGTTTCTAAAATGACTGATATCTAACATTTTAGGGGTAGAGGCTTTTTTAGGGGATCTAACTTCTTTAATTTTGAATCCAATGTTACAAAACTTATCAAGAATGTCTACTACCACCTATATTCTCACAAAATAACATAGTTTTCTTATTTGCTTGTTTATTCGGCTTTCATTTGCTTTAATAATATTGAAACTTTTCCTTTAAAGTGTTTTTTTTATAACTTTGAAGTCTAAGATTGCCAAAAATAATTATTTTTGTAAAATAAATTTTTTTATTTTTTGGAAAGTTGAGATTACTGCTGATTGATTTTTTAGTATTTAAGATTTTTTTAGTATTATGTATTTTTAGTATTTAAGATTTTTAATTTAAGACTTTTTTGAAAAACACTAAATTGCTTAAAATAGACTAAGACATTAATTTTTTATATTGCCATAAGTTTAGAGTGCTTCAAGATAAATGTCGCTCTGGAATTTTTCAAAAAATTGGCTCAACTTTTATGGAATGACCCTTTAGGACCTCAATTTTTTCTAAATTCTTTTTAGTGAAACACTTTTAAAATAATAACGTTAATTTTATGCTTTTATTTTTTCCGGTTTATTTTTTATTCATTTTATCATTCGTTCAGATTTTTATTTTTTTAGTTTAGTTTTATTTTTTTTTTTTAGCTTTTATTTCTCTTTCTCAGTTTATTTTTAATTTTATAATATTTAAATGTTTGTTATTTTTAATTTTTAAGTTTGTTTATTTTTTAATTTTTTTATTTTTAGTTTTTAAGTTTGTTTATTTTTAATTAATTAATATTTAAATTTTTAATATTAAAATTTATATATAAACAAGTAAAATTAAAAATGAATTTGTAAAACCCAATGCTTTTATATGTTACTAAACACAAATTTTGCACCAAATTTTTCTGATATTATTATTTTATTTTATTATCACTCTTCATTAATAGTAAAATAAACTGTTGTAAAAAAGCAAAAAAAATTCAGGAAGACACAGGTCTTGAACCACAGACATTCCCTTTACAAAACAATGCCTTATCCAAATATCCTAATAAGATAAACAAGTAGGAAAACAATATACTTATTTTATAAATTATTCTTCTTCTTTCCATATAAAAAATATAATAAACCATATAAACTTATAATATAATATAAATCCATATAAACTTAAATTAAATTTAAAAAAATTAAAATTAGCTAAATTAATTGGCTTATTGCAAAACTAATTATTAAATATTGTATTGTATCAAGTAAGAGTATGTACCCATAATTTGAAGAAAATCTATCATCAGGAAGTGACTCAAAATCAAAAAATTGATTGCAAGATTTGATGCTCACAGACAAATACCCAAGGTGTTAATAAACGCAATAGGAAAAAAAAAAGTTCATATTTAAATGATAAATTTAGAGATGGTGTCTTGATAAAACTACTCATATTCGGCAGACATTAAATACATCTGACTACTGTCTTGTAGAAGGCCTTCTAAGCAAAGATTTAAGGGGTCAACAGATTCTATCTGTTGACCAGCCTTAAGTAGATGTATTTGTAGTACATTGTTTCCAGTTTAGGTTGTTGAATGCTAGATCTTCTCGACTCATTGAATGGGCTTTGTTTGTCTCTATGTTTTTATGACTAGGTAACTTAAGCTATTATCTCCTAGTGAGGGTACAGCTCTAAAACTCAGTTTTATAGTTCTGAGGCTTGCTGGTAGTCAGGCTTCCCGAACTCTTTGGTAGCTCTCAGAGAGGCTGATTTCATCAACAGCTGTAACATATCATACGGTGCCAAGTTGCGCATGAATGCTGTCCTTTTTTGCACTATTAGTGTGCATTGTCAAAGCCACATTTGTAGCCTGTTTTTATGGCTTAGGCTTTATTTGTAGTAATAGGGCAAATGCTTGGACTATTAGATAGTGCTTTGAGTCAAGTTCTCTAACTAATTTAAAAAATGACCAAAGTATCAAAAACTTTAAAACACAAAAAACTTGGTGGTGAGGATGCACCACCAAGTTCTATAAATCGTTATCGATCATTCACTAATATTTGTGGTCTTTAAAGTTACTTCGAAGTATTCTCTGTTGATTCTTATCTTTTGCCAAGTTCACCAGACTTGCTTGTTCTTTGTAAGACTAATTTGAGTTCAGCTGTCTCATTTTGTAAGCTTAGTGTTAATGGTTATTTTCTTTTAATTTGTAAAGACTCCAACAGTCACATGCTTAGCCTGGGCATTTACATTCGTAAATATTCACCAATTTATAGGGTTTGAATCCACAGACAATTCTTTATGTGGTTTCGTTTAGCACCACTTCACTCTATCATTTTTCTTTTTGTCCTTTGGCAATATCATCTAAATGGCTTGGTTCTAGTGTCTCTGTTCTAGTTACTCTGTAGGCTCTCTAGTTACTAGTTACTCTGTAGGCTCACAATCTTTGCCTTTCTGAATCTCTAACACAAATATTAAATTTTCTAACTCACTTCAAGTCAGGTTTATCCTGCATCAGTCAGGTCAGGTTTATCCTGCTACTGGTAACATGTAACCCAGTACAATCTGCTTCATGTCCTGCTGCCTTGTAGGATATGCATTTTTAGGCAAAGGCTAGGAGATGCAAACTCCGACATAAAACACCTTGGGGCTCTTAGTTGAGTAAAGGCTAAAGATGGTGTCTCGATAAAAATACTCATCTTGGGCAGATGTTACATGCATCCGGCTGCTGTCTTGTAGAAGGCCTCCTAGGCAAAGACTTAAGGGGTAAACAGATTCTATCTGTTGACCAGCCTCGCACCCTTTCGTCATCTATTAGGCTGGCGCAGATGTATTTTTAATACATTGTTTCCAGTTTTAGGATGTTGAACGCTGGATCTTCT